GAGAATATGCCGGAAATAATTATTGCGAAAGATGCTCAAAAGGTAGTTAAGAATGAAGCCACGCTCAACGCGCAACATTTGTACGCCTGGACACGAACGTACCCTTCCTTTTGTTCCGTCACAGCCCATGAGGCAGCTCGCGCAGGAAGTGTGACGCGTGATAATGAGCTGCCGTGTGTATAAACGTCGCGGATTTGTGCTGGAACTTGCTATAGCAACGACAACGTCAAGCGCAAATTGCCGAGAGACCGCCCGAGAGCTATACGTTATGTGACGTTTATTTAGCGTGATTGCCAGGTCGCGCGATACGCAACGTGTTCGGCAACGCGCGAAGATTTCCTCACACTCTCCCTCTCGGCGTTGAAAGCTTCGCAAATAGAAACCGCGGCGGAAAAGAAGAGAGAGCGTCGAAAATATTGGAATTTATCTGGCGGACGGATAAACGTAAATTCGGATTACGGGGTTCACTCGCGGCGCACTCGCCGCCGGTGAGAGCGGTAGACGCGCGCGAACACGCAGCGGAAAGCGTATATCCGTATATTCGCGAGCGTATTCGCTCGCGTTTACGAGACATTCGGCCTGCCAGAGGAGCGTTTCCTGTTCCTTCGACGCATCGACAACATGTCACGGCTTGGTCTCCCTCTCTCTTGCTCGCTTTTCCGAAACCCGAAAAATTATGAGCCCCTGAATAATAAAGTTGTCAATCTCTGACGCGACGACAACCCTCGGCTGTGATGCACCCTCGTTTGACCGAACGGCCTCGTTTTTTTTTTTATTACCACGCGGAGGTGGGCGCGAAACGTGTGCGCGGGATATTATACAGGATGTTCCGAAAGTACCGCGCGATATTTCAGCCGCTTGATTACAGTCTTAGGGGGAAAATGTCGAGGAAATGTCACGATGGCTCATTCGGCGACTTTTCGGACTCCATTTCCCCGGGAAAATAAGCTTCGTAGGGAGGAGCTATCGGATACATCGCGTTCTCTCGATATTCAGGATATTATGTACCTCGGTTATTAAGCCGCAAATTAAAGTACCGGGTGGATAAATGCATTCGAATTTTCGCGTGTATAACAAGGCATCGGTGCATAATTGCGTTTGAAAAGTTTCGCGAAGGATATTTTCGTTTTTGTCACACGAGTCTCTCCGAAGGTATCGACGCTTCGATATACCAGGGTGATATAGGAGAAAAATCTACTCTAAGTTAGTTAAAGAATTAATTAAGGTTGATGGTTCCGGAACATCCTGTATAATTCATATCCCGACCGACCGAATATCCCAGGGGGCGGCTCGGAAACTGTAAATTTCTCTCCTTACTTCATAATTTAATTTATGGCGTAATTTAATTGAAACTCATTGACGTCACATAGTAAAGCCGAATCTGACGGTCGATAAAATCGCGCGATCCGGCTGGCATTTATTCGCGAAACGGCATCTACGGTTCGGCACGTTTCAGCACGTTTGAGCGAATTGTAGCGAGCGTCGAGGAGAAACATTTTCGCGACGGACCTCGGAAGTTGCGCCCGAAAATGATGCGCAATGTCTAGCCGGTCCTCCAGCGTTAACGGCATTGCGCTCGTCGAGGGTAACCTCGGACGACGAGGCAGATCGGCCCCAACATCGATTCTGGCCTGTCGTTCTCCTCGAAACACCAAAGGGAAATTCAATTCTCGCGAGCGACGCGCGAAAAAGTCGTTTCTCAAACCGCCCGCGTTGTGCGAGATGACCTGCCAAAGTGAGACTGTCACTGCTGATATTTTCCCTCCCCCCCCTTCCCTCGGCATGTCACGATATATAGAAAATGACGTAATGAGAGTACATCTTTTTCTTCTTTCTCGTGTGGCTCACGTGACGATGCACCTTTGTTTATTTGTCTTCATGGGAACTAAATTGAGAACGAAGCGCGCGAATTTGTCGTGACGCTCGTGTGTGCGCTCTCACGTCTCTGTATCTTGTACGCGTGGGAGTTTCAGGTGGTTTTTAAGTGGTTTAAGTAGGTCTCCGGGGAAAAATTAATGGAAAAATATAGCATCCCCGCACAGAGTTATCGCCCGGTGATTGCCGCAGCTTTTGAAAGTTCTCTTAAATATGACAGATGGGGAGAACGGGAGGGGGGAGGGGGTAGTATGTCGAGGAACTCGACACGATTCGCCATGAATCCATCATAATTACAGAGGTGCATTTCCGACGAAATCCCGCGCGAAAAATAACGGAAGGCTCTCGCTCTCCCTCTCTCTCTCCTTCTCTCTCTCGCGAAACAGAGAGAGAGAGAGAGAGAGAGAGAGGAGGTAATCAAGCGGTATTAACAACAAATGAAAAGTACCATTAAGAGCTTATCCAAAATTAACGATTCGGACGGCCAACATGGTCACGTGCCGATGTGGGGGAGGGAGTGGAGGGTGGTTTGGTGTACATTGCGAAACGAGTTTGCTCGCGGTCGTAGTCGATGTATCGGGTGAAGCGGTTCCTTATAATATCCCCAGGCTTTGATACCATCGTCGGTACGCCGCTTTTATCGAGATACCGTCGATTGGCCGAGATACTAGAGAGAGACGGGAATAATACGGCACGTTCCGGCGTGTTCGGAAAAGCTCGAGTCGGAAGTCCGACTCGAGGAATCACTCGGCGAGGCGAGGGGGAGGAAAACAAGCGATCGCCGCAGAAGATTGCCGCGAGGAGAGGAGAGACTCTCTCGAGAGCGGCGAGAAATCGAGCGAGATAATCGTCCGCATGTTTCGGATCGCGCGCAATCTTACAGAAATTACACGGAGCACCCTCTCGGGGCGAGATCCCATTATTTCCGGACGCGTCAAAAACCCGACGTTCGGGAGGAGGCAGAGGAGCCTCCCTCCCGCTCTTATTTGCCGATGCACCATTAAGAACTGGAGATTGGATTCGTCGGTGCGGCATGAATATTCACGAGGACTCATTTTATGTGGTTCGTTCGGGTCGCTCCCGCGTGCAAGACAAGTCGACGACGCGGGAGCGCGATCGTTGGGACGGGTTTTATCCGAGCGTTGACCTTGAATAATTGAGAAGCTCCGGGAGGTGTTATCGGTGCTGGCCGTGTCGTTCGATCGGGCGTTTCCGATTATGAGGACGGCGGTGTCCCTCGCGGTTCCCTCCGCGATTAACGAGCTGTCGATTAGCGGTTTCCGCGGTTCTCCAAACGGAAGCGACCGCGAGGCTCGCCGATTTATCATCGGCCGTGCCCCGTCATTTCGCCGGTGTGTCACGCTCGTCGCGAACTCGAGAGGCACGTGCGTAATATTTCACGCGGCCTCCCGTCGCCGCAAGGACCAAAGGAGCCGTTCGAGAGGCTTATGCCGCCCCGAGCCCTTGAGATATGCATCGCCCGCGGCGTTTACATGTCGAGATACACGGCGCAGCCTGTAACATGCAGGCGTGCCCTCGCAGGTTAACGCAGCCGAAAACGTATCCAAAATTCAAATCACGCGGCACTCTTCTCCGAACGACCCTACGTAAATGTAAACGCGAGTATAAGCCCGCGAGACCTCCGGAGACGCGCCCGTAGATATTGCGATTTTACGAGACGACGTGGAGCGGGAGAGTGCGGAACGCACGTGTGTTCCACGGAGGTATCGACACGTAGTAAGGCGACGTTATCCGCGGAGCGTGAGAGAAACAAATATCGGAGCGAAAGGTATTCCTACCCACCAGCTCGACTGACGCGCAGCGCGCACCGGGTATCCCGGTTGAGGCTGCCTTTCCTCGACGGGATTTCCTATCGTAACGACGTGATCGAACGAAGAGAGCGTCGGTCGGATAGTCCGCTTGAGTCTAACGATGATCACGCGGCGAGACGGGCCCTAGATCGATGAACTTCTGCCCGAAGCGGAGAGTCCAGACCCACGGAGGGGGAGGGAGTGACCCCTCTCTCCGAGAGAAAAGGAGAAGAGACTGCCTCCTGGTTGAAGGGCGACAGATACGACGATGCGATGAGACCTCCTGCTACTAATCGACCCGGTTTGGGTAATTACGATTAGGTGTGCCTGCTCTCGATTAATTGACGCGCGGGTGAAAGCACACCGTCGGTGGTAAATATGTACGGGGGGCACGAGAGCTTTCTCGAGGGACGTCGAGAGCCCCGTCGACGGGGCTGGAAAACGGAGAAAAAGTGTGCGTGTGATCCGTGAGAGGAGAACAAGTAATGGAGAGTCTCGCTCTGCATACATATATTTAGGCAGACATCTCGATCCGTTACGCACAAGTGGTCGAGGCCCGAGACGGAAACGTTGCGCGACGTCGTTTGGTCGTCCGTGATCGAGATACAGTCGATCTTGGCTACTATTTTCCTTTTCGTCGTCAAAACGAAACAAACGTAGGACAGTCAGCAGTGGCGCCGAGAGTATAAAGTATACCAACGGAAAGTACTTACAGAAAAGTAAAGACGTAACACGCGTGTGTGTGGATATGTAATATATACAGCGTCGCGCAAGCGGCGAAAAAATCGTCCGTCTTTCGACACGATGAATCCGACGGTTGTGTCGCGGAGTGCCGCTCGTTAATCGCGATTTCTGAGAGAACTTAGGCTAGAGAAATGTCTATAATAAGGTGCAAATTTACAACGAATATACACGAACAAAAGTCCCCGGTAGGCTAAATTGCGAGCTCCGACTTGGTGACGCGACAGCGAAATCTCCGAATCGTCCGAGAGTGAATCGACCTCTGAACTTTGTCAACAGGAGAGAAAAACTCGCGGTTTCGGCAAATTCGACAATTTACGCACGATTCCGTCGCGACTTGAAGATCCAAGCGTCTCTCGCGAGCTTCTAGATCCTGAGTCAAACTCTACGTTGATTCTAGCTCGAAGGAAAACGAGAAAAAAAAAGAGAGAGAGAGAGAGACTGCACGGCATCGTGTGTGTATATATTACATATCGTGTATATAACAATAACAATTTACAACGAATCAACCGAAAAGAAAGGAAGAGGTGTGTCTGGCTGGTGTGCAGGCAGGCATGCTACGAGTTACGTTACCTAGGGTGAGCTTCTCGCCGGAATCGGGCGGCAGGGTGAAGCCCAATAGGGCCATGCTCGATATCAGCACGCAGGGCACGATCAGGTTGAAAAAGTAGTAGAGGGTCCTCCTGCGTATCTGTATCGTGAAGGTGACGTCGACGTACGGCTCCGGGCAGCACTGATACATTATCGTGTTCTTCTTTCCCGGCATACCTGGAAAAAAGTGCCCAGCACCGATGTACACGCCGACATGTATATCCGAAGTATTAAAAGCGATATATACTGGTATCTCGCGCGCGCGACACGAGGCAGGTGATCCGTTCGGTCTGCGACCGTCACCGCCTCCTCTTTATCGTCTCCGACGCTTCCTTCTTACTTCTAATCGTTCACTACCCTGTTATATAGCTGCCGTACGGAAAAACATCTCCGCCTAGGTCGCGATGAAACATCGGAAGCCCATCTATCCGCGTCTATCGCTATCCCCGGATCGTATTTTTATCGTCCCGTCGTCTCCTTTAACATCCTCTCTTACTCCTCGCCGCTACATCCACACGCTGCGACTCGGGCCGAGCGGAACACCGGCAGATACACGCCACCATACGTAAACTTTACCTGCCGTCCGTCCGTCTGTCTATCCGTTTTAACGCGGAGGAGTCCGCGTATGTCGTCGGGAGACGCGCGGCCCACGTCGAGCTTACCGCGACTTCCACCGTTGTTCGCGCGATCTCGCCGCAACCACGCCGAGATTACCGCTCGTCGTGAGCCGCGAGAAGACGTCGCCGAGTTGCCAAGTGTTTCCTTGACTTCGTCCCCAGCCCGACGACTCACCGGCGACACACGGAACGAACGAACCAACGAATCAGCTGACTAAAGAGCGGCGATACGCACGATGAGACAGAACTCGCCGTTTGTCCGCGGAATTTCAGCTGCCGGGCACGCGCCTTCGGCGATGACGAAAGCACCTAGTGCGGGGAGGTGGCGATTCCTGACCGCTCGGTACTTTTTCAGAGCGGGCTTTCTTAATAACTTCCGATCGGACAGCCTCCCGCATCGATCTCGAGCGGCGAACGCGACGCGATATCGGACACTCACTTGTTGCTGGTCTCCATTCTTAAGACACCTTTTCTTCGCATTTCGACGGTGAGCGGCGTCACGCTCGGTACATCCGCTTCGAGATAATTAGCGGATTTAATAGCGGAAAATAGCAGCGGTTTTAGAAGCGCGCGGCTGGCCGAGACTTAATTACGCACGTCACGTCGGCTATGTCGGCGGATGCTCGCCGGGGCTCGACGTGCCGTCGATTTACCGGTTTTACCGGTTACGATAGGTCGAAAGCATCGAAACGTCTGGTATGTTTTATCGTCACGCTTCGCTTTTTGTCGTCGCACAATCGAACACTTTGTCTCTGCGCCACCTTTGGAAACAGCTTGGAGCTTGATATCGATTAGTTTCACTCGGAGTCTCTCTCTCTCTATCTATTTATCCATCTATCTCTCGACACCTCCGCATCGCGTCGAAAAGATCATCCGGTCAGTTCTCGGTGAATTTGCCGTAACGAAAATACACGGTGCGTATCGAACGAGAGAAAGAGAGAGAGAGAGAGAGAGAGAGAATTCTGCGCGACGCGGTGGTTGTTCTTTTACATTTTTACAAGCTTCCTACGCGTGTCCCTTCGAGATTACCTCGTGCTTCTCTCTCTCTCTCTCTCTCTCTTTTCTCTCGAACGCGAGAGATTTTTCTTGTTGGCTCGGTCGCGCGGTCGGATATTTTCGGCATTTTTTTCGAGACGCTAAACCGAAGCTATCACGAATTCCATCTCTCCGTCGACGGGCGCGTCTCGCACACGGCGCGAATCTCGAAACCACTTCGGGAAAACCGCCGTGCACGAGGCGCACTTTCCGATACGCGGCCACGCCGGAATGTAGTCGTAAAAGGACATGGCCAATAAATGAGACGCAGGAAGAAGAAGCAGAAGAAGAGCGGCGGACGAAGGAGAAACACGGCGGCGGTAGGAGGACCACCGTCATAAAGTCATACCCGTTGCGGCGCCGCGAGACACGGAGGTGCCGTAAAATCTTTCGATTTCTATTCAGCGGTGACATCGATCGCGACTATGCGCGAAACGTAGAGCTCCCGGGGATGCCGCGGGATGCAGCGTCGCGGCGAAAAGCCGGGGGCGCGGTTTCTTAACGACTTCCATCGGCATTCCTTCGCACACCGATGACGCCGTTTCGCGTTCCCGGTAGGGCGCGCGGGAAACTTGCGTCCCGGGATCCACCGGGAAGCTGAAACGAATTAGGGGTGACACAGCGCGCCGACAGCTTCTCGCTCGATATATTCCTTCGTTGTATCCCCTTTTTCGTCCTGCTCGTTCTCTCTTTCTCTTTTTTTTACGAGAAATCTCTCATTTGCCGACAGGTGGGGACGAGCCGGCGAGCAATGCGGGACGCGTTGTGTGAGATTGAAAAATTTACGGACCAACAACGTGTGGCGCGCGCCCGCGGTGTCTGGTCATAATAAAGGAGCGGAGATTCGCGAATAGTTGACGCGAGGAAACGCGTTTCCGCTCGTATGAATATGCGGTGGATCGGTCGTATGGAGAAAAGAAAGCCGTAACTCGGGTTATAACTCGGTGTACTTTTGCGTTGGGCTTTGATACGAGCCGAAGCCAGACGGAAAGTCTAGAAATACAGATGGGGGACGCTCCGTTAATTAGTTTTGTCAGTATTACAGTTATTACAGTTGCAAACGACAGTTGAGACAATTTTGAAGAATCTCGCACGATAATCACGTCCGTAACTCCAGAGTCCTGCGGATCAAGGCTCAATGGAACCCGATCCGGTTTATCATAAATAACCCGGCACGATCTGTGTTCGCTTTGATAACGTCCCGTAGAAATTTAAAGCGAGGGCTGGGAAGGATCTGCAGAATTTTTCCCCACTTCTAGGCTTTGTGAAGGTAAGCCCTATGCAGAAATGCAACGGTCGTACAAAATTCGGACGAAATTTGTAAATCTAAATCCTAATCTCACGAAATAGACTGCCTCTTGTTACGCTTCCAATTTATAAGAAAATTCAAATGCGAACTCGTAGCTTGTTTATGTTAAATTTTCTACTTAGACGCTATTTTTGAGAATCAAAATCAAAGTTAGGTAATTTAGTCTCGTTTTGACCTTATTATAGTGAATTTCATTTAAATCTCATTTTAGGAATTGGCTAATTAGGCCCTGACGTATAGGTCTTGTTAGGAGCATTCACGTCGATGCTTATTCAGGAACTATTTACGAAAATCCATTCAGAATTTGCCTTTCTTGATCATGTTTAGGCTCAAGGAAAGCAGGTTTATTTATGTCAGACTTACTTAAGGCCACTGCAGACTCGGGGCACGCCACGATTAATTTCTACCCGAGACCCAAGGCCTGGCCCGGATCGGTGTTTCTTGTTAAAAAAATATTTATATTTGAAACTCTTTCAGATTCGACAACGAATCGGACTGAATCCGGGCGTAAATCGGGCCTTGATTTGCTTTACGTGACTCGTAGGAGCTTTCGTGGCGCATTTTACGACAGTTTCGCGATAGTTCGCTCTTCGAAAATAACTGTTCGATCCTCCGCGTCATTATCGAACACATGAGACCGCCCAATTAACACAGATACAAGCGTGATTCCACGTAGCACTAAATACGAAACACCGGCTGGGTCGAAAGGGCCGCACTTTGTTGTCGAAGTTAAAGCCGCGTAATCATCGTCCGTGGAAAATAGAATCGTTAAATTCCGTAATAGCTTTGCCCCCTGCGATATATTATTACATTCTATACGTAATTCCATTCCCACGCTATGCCTCCAACAACGTACACGCTGTGCAAACAGATTCGCAAATTGCGACGGATTAACATAGGTACATTACCATTGTGCACGCGTGCCGAGAACAGACGAGGATTAAGCCGCGACGCGAGGCGTTGCGAAAGAAAGAGTGGGAAATAGAGAGATAGATGGAGAGAGAGAGAGAGAGAGAGACAGAGAGAATTTAAATTACGCCAAACTGATTTCTTTCTTCTGTCCCGGCTCTGATAACGATTTCTCCTCCCAAAATAGACCGGTTCGTCACCCTTCCCCTCTCGATTGTCATATCCCCCGTCCGATGAAACGAGGTGCGCGCGCTGCGAAATGTCGTTTTTAGCTTTGATTCGTTTCAATTTGTCAGTTTCGGCGGGAGACAAGGTGTCACGTGTGGACGTAGCAAAAAAGTCGCTGACATTTCATACGTTGCCACGTATACAATATCGCTGTCAAACCGCGGAGGTATCGAGTGATAATCGATGAGGGACCGGCCGCAAAGACCGGCATATTCGCGGCAAATGTGCACGTCCGCGCGCGTAAACATGTTTACAGCGTCAGGAATATAAAGGCTAAGCCGACGTGTTTCCAGCGAGGAACCAAAGTCCCGACAAATAAATATATAAGAGCGACGCGTCCTTTCGTCCTGTTCCTGCGGCATCCGTCAAAATATCCGTTACGATTGGCCGACACGTGGGAGTCGTCACGCGAATCATCGCGTTCAACGTGAGTTATCGAATTTCTCCCGAAACTCGGATATACTTTCAGAAATACTTTTACCTCTAAAATAACATTAATATCTGTGTGCCCTGTGAGATTGCTACGTATGACGCTCGTTCATCAGCACGTAACGCAATCGCATTGGTTCAATAACGATGTAATTCGCCGACGATGATGGCGAATCTGTGCGCGCGAATGTACACGTTTTCGACAGCTGCGATCACGCGGAAAATATTCCCGTCGATCCCTACTTGACTCAGCGTTCTACTTCCGGATTAGCGCCGCAGAATTGGGACGCACGGATCTATTCATCGGCGCGCGCGCGTCGAGCCAATTCGAGATTCTATTCTTAGTCGCCTATGGAGAGACGCTCACCTTCATCGCGAGCGCCTGTGCGCTCGAGCGCACGAGTATACACACACACACACACACACAAAGAGAGACACATGACGCGTAACAGCCACACTTATACCCGCACTCATTCACACATCTATATATACACACATACGCGTATGTATTGCTTATACAGAGGTAGTAGATTCTGATTGGCTCGACAAGTCGTAAATTTGAGGCTCTGTGAAACTCACCGATGAGGTACCATTCCCCGTTCGTGATGAAATCGGATAAGTCACCACCCTCCTCTGAGTTGAGTACCAGATCGAGCTACCAAGGTCAAAGTTTGATTAAGACGGGCACGGATCTACACGACGGGGACATTCCGTTAGGTAACTCGAAGCGGAACGTGCGCATGCAGCTACGAATTCCGGTCGCGTCTACGTCTACTATGCGTCTCGTACGAGAGAGCAAGAGAGGAAGAGAGAGAGAGAGAGAGAGAGAAAGACAGGATACGCCTGCAAACCAGGGTATCACGGGAGTGATAGATAAGGCGTGCAACTAGGAGGGAGAATCCGCTGTTGGGCTGTTGGAAGACGGTGATGCGAAAGGGGGAGTCAGTCACCTCCCCCTCTCGCGTGTACGCCTGGAAAAATGCATTCGTGCGGCCGACGGGCGGAAAACCGGCTCCTCGTCCAGCTGGCTGAGAACTGCTCATCACTGCGCGGCCAACAAGTCCTCGTCTTAAGTTCGCACGCGAGACCTTCCTTCGCCTTCCTTTCACCGCGTGGAATTCGGGGCGTCTTCTCACATACGTTGCGAATATTCGACGAGACGACGTGTGCACGCCGTGCCACCTGCGGAACTCGCGAGAATGCGAGCGGCTTCCGGTCGGTCCGATTTCTCGGGATTTCTGAAAAGTCGAGCAATTTTCGCCGGCATTTTGGCGAGTTTCCCATTTGAGGCGGGCTCGGGGCGAATGTGAAATATCGGCCGGGTAGAGTGGCTGACAAAAGTCGCAATCGATACCGTCGTGGCCCCGCTGCCGCGTTCGCGCGATCTTTATCGTTAGGCGATAAAATATTAGTTTGAGGAACGCTTGGGAGAGGGCGGATTTCGCGCTCGACTTGCCCCGCCGTGGCGTGCAGACGCTTTAATTTCGGATTTCGGAACAAGGGTCGACCGAAAAATCTCACGCTCCGCGGATATCGCGCTGGTAATCATATTAAAGTAATTAAAAGAAATCCCAGGGACAGGATCGTCCCCCTGCCGTCTCCGTTCTCCCCGCCGCTGTCCGACACCGTCGTCGTCGGACGGCCGGAGAGAGCAGGAAATAAAGCGACGACGTCGGTGGAGATACCTCGTAAAAGATTTTCCGCTTTCTTTTAAGTCCCGTATCGCGCGCACTCACCGGGGTATCTGTTGCTTTTTGATCTAGAGCCAAGTAGGATGCATTCCGCTCAGTTCCCGCGGCCGAAGGACCTCGGAGATCTTCTCTCCGGCGGATCCAGCTCGAAATGACCGCGTTCCGACGATATTCCGATCGGTTGCGAAAGCCGCGCTCGCCGACGCGAGAGATCGACGACGGCCGTAAAGCACGGCGGATCATTTCCCGCGATCGTTCTAGCCTGGCAAATATGTATATCTTCTTCTTTTCGATTTCCCTCTCTCCTCTCCCTCTTCTTCTTCGTTTTCCCGCGGCGGAAAGCGACAAGTGTAATTCCCTCGAGACGGGATGTTATTGTTCGTAAAGACATTACCGTTCAATATTCCCGGGCGCAATGACGGTGGAACGAACTCGATAAAAATTCAATAGTCCCCGCTGTACTTCGCGCATCCCCGAGAAGAGGGAAGAGAAGCGCCTTTTCTCTTCTCGCCCTTACTCTTTCCTCCGTCTTCCACGGAAGGATACACGGGCAAATCTGTGTCGCGCTCGTACCGAGAAAATTGAACGGGAGGTTTTCGGGCGTTGCCAATTCGCAATTTACAGGAGAGAATTCCGCCGGTTATGCCGCGTTGATTTTCTCGTTCTCGCGGAAATTCCCCCGTCCGGTCGGCCGTTGATTCGACCGCCTCCGCCGATTTGTACGTTCCATCTCGTCGACTCCGTCGGTCGGCCTCATTCTCGCGAACGCTTTCATTGACCTTACCCGCTCTCGATCATCCTTCGTAATGTAATTCCGGCGAGCGAGCGAGCGCCGCACCGGTCGAGCTGTACCAGGTGCTTGTATATCGTGAAATTCGCGGCGAAAATTACGGCGGATACACTGCGAGCTCGTAAAGTTAGCCCCTCATAATTCATCACGACACGTATACTTTGCCTCGTAGCTTAGTTCGGCCTTTACTCACGCGGGCTACACGTGGTTTACCGCTTCCGACATGATGCATCACGGATGGACGTCTCGATGCAAATGCACTGCCGAGCCGGCGCCTGCCGCGCGCCGCCTCTTAACTAATTAAATTCAATCTTCATATATATCGCCTCCTTATCAGGCGCGTTTAATCAGGCCGATGTTAAGAAGCGTTTCCGCAGGATCAACTTCGTGCACGCGCCAATCGAGTGGCGAGATGGGAGATTACGGAGCTTCGTTCGCTCGTTATTCGCTCGGCCGGGCCGGTTTTTCGCCGTCGGCCGCAGATTGCCACCTGTAAAATCATGGGGGACGACTGAGGACGATATAATTCCGGCGAGTTTAATTTTCCACGCTGTAAATACGGAAAAGGCGGGAGGGGTAGGCCGCCTTTAATGCGAATTACCGCGTTTTCATTGCATCGGGTTGGCACGGAGGTATTAGGTTCGCGCGTCTCCTGTAATATTGAAGCACAAACTCGCCCGAAATTATATCATATAATACTTCGTATCATTATATTATATATCAGTTTCAATGCTGCAAATTGACTAGTGCATGCATGCAAACGATTAATCCGCAATTATTGTCGATTATGTAGCTCGACGCCATTTCGTGCTTCTTCGGTTGCGAAGTAAGCGATAATTGAACGAAGACCCCGGAGTATTTTCCGAGCTGTACATTTCGTTCCCGATAGATCGGCGAATTATTGCCGACTGTCAATTCTCCACGTCGCCGATATCTGCTTTCCCGGCGTTAATCCGGCGAGTGAGAATTTCGATCGGTCGCGTTTCGCGATCGAAACGACGCGCGGCAATGGAGCTCGCACCGGAAAAAGGGAGGCCAACAGCATCGAAACACCGTTGTATATTTATCATTCGGCGTTTAAAGCCGCTTCCGTTAGAAATTATCGAGCGCGCGTGTACACTGAGCTGCGCGGCTCGGTGTAGACGGCAACGTGCATCCGCATTCCTCCGGAAGAAAATCAGGAATCGGAAGTGTAACGGAAGCGATTTCGGCGATCTCGAGTTTTTCAGACGGACATGGAAAGTGCATTTTATGCGAACCGGTCGCAGCACTTTCCGCGTCAGCGAAGCACCGAACTCGCCGAGATCGCCCCGAGACGTCGATTCAGTCGAACGGTATGTACACACGCGCGTATGGACGCGCGACGGAGGATGAGAAACTGCGATGTGAGCGTAACGTAGGAGGGGGAGGGAGAGGGATTATCATTTCTACGCGTCGTCAAGAAAGCATGCAGCTACGCCGCGCACGACACGGAACGGCCATTAATTTCTGTACATATATATACACACATAACATGCGACACACACGCTGTACAGATATATCAATCAATACGGTTGATGTTGATTCGTTGAGTGACGGAGGGCGAAATGGATCGAACAAAATTCGGGTGTAGTACGACATAGACGACGACATAGTCTTTTTGGTTTGCACAAATCTATATATATATATATATGTATATGTATATATATGTATATATAGATAGATAGATATATATTTATGTCATGGGATAGAATAATCGAGATATATGAGTCGGGGTGGGGAGAGACAACGTTTATATGCGGCGGGCTAATTGGTGGAAATGCGCTCGGACTGCATTTCGACGGGGGGCGGTGCAGCGTGCAAACTGCAGCGATGCCGACGACGATGACGGCGGCGGTGCAGTGACGCGTAATCGAAAATCGAAAACGAGCTACGGGTTTCGGCACCTACGCTATCGAAATCACGATGGATCGCGCGGCGCTCGTAAATCCCACGGCGGGGGATACGTGCGTACGATGCGCGAGCGGTACGTGTACCGGGTGTCCTCGCTCGTTTATTCTCTCTGTGTTCGTCATTGTCGAGAGTTTCGTCGCGATACCTCAGGTTAAACCGAGCTTAATAGCCGTCCTTTGACTGATTTCTATTCGACCGCTTTCGGGTAAACGCCTCCTGAAGTCTACGGGATATTGTTGACGCTGATTTAAAAAAAAAAATACATATATATATATACACGTATACAATGAAATTTCAGACACGAAGGAAATGATTTTTCAACGGGTGTTAGATTTCTCGCGAGCTGGAGGCCGATTATGTTCTCAGCGAAAACAAAGGAATCGAAAGAAATCGTTCTCTGTTAAAAGTCACGAGTTTTCGTTACTGAACTTTTTGGTGAGCTCCTTGTGAAGTAAAATTGAGTGAAGTTAACTCAAACCCGAAGTTCCACAATTCCTCAACATTTATCTCTTATTCTAGAGATTCGAGGAAAAAATCCTCGTAATTAGTCCTTTCTATCTAAGAAAAAGATTCATTGGTACTTTTCTTAATTCCCTTTTATATCTGTTAAAAACAGGAAAATACCGCCTCGTGACATTTCCAGCTCCCGTCGGGGTTGCTCCGTTTTTTCACCACGGATCAATTCTTACTCGAACTCGAGGACGATCGATATTTCCCATCGCGATGATCTAACTTCACCGGTGCATTTTTCTTTCGAGCCGAAACGACATTGCGTACGCCCGAATCGCGGGAGTTCCGGCTTCGCAACGGTTTTTATCTCACGTCGCTGCAACTTCTAGAACACAGAACACAGATAGGGCTACGTTGTTCGGCCCGCGACTTCGGAAAGTCGCAACTCGCGAACGGATCGACGTAGAGACGCGAGACGAAAAATCCATCTCTTCAATATGCGTTTATGCAGATCTCGCTGACGAAGAGAACAAGCAAAACGTTGTAATAAATTCGCGTAGACGCGAAACTTCTTACACGACGCATCTCTTGTTTCCTCTGATTTGCAACGGAATTTTCGCCAAGTTCGTTACTTATAGAAAACAATCATCCGACGTTCTCATCTCCGCGCGGTTATTTTAATAGCGATGCTTCGCGAACGAGCGAAGAGGTTGACGTTGCGTGCGATCGAATCGTTCCGACTGATAAGCCCGATTCCTCCATGAGACCGCGATTCAACGAGTGAAACTTCCC